AAAGGAAAAGGAAAGACTAAACCTACGTAACTACATATCTACGTAATAATATATACTACATATAACTTCATACGTATTAGGAGTTATAACTAGGTAGTAATATATAACTATAATACGTAATAATAATCCCGGTGTTTTTCTTCTTGGCCGGCAAACCAACACAACCAAGGTTGGGAGGAGCTGTTTTAATTTAACTCCAACTCTAACACAGCCCGGAACCCTCACCTTTCCCTATAAATAATAGGCCAGAACCTACGTTTTCTTCATCCCAAAATCTGCGAAATATACATATATACGTATATATATATATATATATATATATATATATATATATATATATATATATATATATATATATATATATATATTTTTTTTTTTCGACCCACCGTTTTAGCCAGAAACAAGCCCTGAAAACACCCCTCAAACCTTCCCCTTCGTGATACGAATCCAACGGAAAAAGAATCGTCAAAAACGGTCGTGAAACGAGGGAGAAATAGCTCGCCGGAGTTTCGCCGGGGAAAAATCTTTTCGACGGAAAACGGAGAGGAGGGAGGAGCTGCCGCTGCCGCCAACCCATCACCGACCGTTACCGTCCATCAAGAGTGCATCGCCACCGTCGTTGGCCGCTTGAACATCAACCACCTTCATTTTCCATGCTGAGGGTAGTCCCCTCAACACTTTGAGGTTGATCTCCTTGGTGGTGAGTTTCTTGCCAAGTTCAGAAATCTCTCTAGTGAGAGTAAGGAGTCTGTCATACATCTTGGAGATGCTTTCTCCAGGGAGAAGTTTGAAATCATCAAACTTTTTGTTAGCAATGGTTAGCTTGTTGTCCTTTTCTTGCTCATCACCAGCTCCAATGAGCTCAAGAGTATCCCAGATTTCTTTGGCAGTCTTGCACTTCTTTATTCTATTGAAGTATCTATCTTCAATGGACTTATAGAGGATGTCCTTTGCAATGTTGTCCAGATTTTACTTTCTCCTCTCTTCAGTGGTCCATTCAGACTTGGCCTTGTTAATCATCTGTGGCCTGGTCTGGTCAATAGCATGCTCAGGATTCACCTTCTGGAAGTTGGTAAATGTTCCGATGTCAATTACCTCCCACATCTCATAATGAAGTGCACAGAGATGTGCCTTCATTCGGATCCTCCAGTCATCAAATTTAAGATCTGAAAACATAAGGTTCTTGGAAAGAGAGTGATCCATAGTATGAGATAAAAACAGAGGCAAAAATGAAAAACAAGTGGATCTTTGTTCAACAGGTAACCTAAAAGATTACAAGAATAAGGAGGCTCTAATACCACTTGTTGGTCCCGGTTGTACTGGGTACAGTCTAGGGGGGTGAATAGACTATTCTGGTTTTTAACTTTTTCAAGCTAAGTACCAGATTTAACAGAATAGCCTGTTCTATTGGAAGAACAGACTGGCAGCGGATGGTATTCTGGTAGGGGTTCTGCCCGGTTAGCCTCTAAAAGATGCAAAGGCAGTAGGCCTTCTGTTAACTCACAGGAGGGGTTCTGCTGAACACAGAGTCCCAAATACTGGAGTTAATCAGTTAAAGATAAATGCAGGAATTTAAAAGCAGTAAGTAAATGACACCAGGGATTTTTATAGTGGTTCAAGGAACAACTCGTTCCTCTAATCCACTGTTCCACTAAGCTTGTAAAAGACCAATTACAAAGCCTTAGCCCTAGCACTTAAGAAGCTCTCCACGTCTTCTTCAAGTGTAGATGTCTTCTGGGATGCACTTCCTTGCTTCCTTTAAGACTGGTCCTTTCACTGAGCTTCCTTGAAGTATCACCACTTCACTACTCCAGTTACTTGGATGTCCTTCTCGTTAGAGAAGAGTTCTTGTGAGAACAGGGGTTTCCAACTAGCTTCGTTACAAAAGATTTGTAGTTGAAGTGCTTGAAGTGTTGAAGAACAGTTGGATCTTTGCTCTTGTTGGGATATGAAAAAGGAAAGTATTATCTTCCCAACGTATGCCTTTCTTGTTGTTGATGATGAAGTTTCTGATCTCAAGAAGGCTTGTGTGTTTGAATGTTTCAATATTTTAGTTTGAGCAAGTGTTGAGCAAAAATCTAGCAAAGTTTTCCAAAAGTTTTATGGTTGTTCTTCGAGTAGTATCTTTTATACTGGGGTTGTCTTCCCGTTGGAAGAGGAGGACAACTGCATTAAATGCGCGAATAGTTGACTTGACCAGTAGGACCCGGCAAAGTTGGCGAGTTACTATTTTGGGATAAAGTTATCCTGACATTGCGGCCAATCATCTACATTTACTCTTTAGTGTATGGGGAGCATTAAATGTGCATTTAATGCGCGTACTGTAGCTTTTCCGTTGAAGTCTTCTAGCCGTTGAAGGAATCTTCCGTTGGTTTCACTGGCTAAAGTAGTTCCATGAAAATTCACCAAGTGTCAGGCCTTCTGGTGTCTTTGTCAGAGAGTTTACCAGAGAAGGTCTCGAGCACTTCTGTTGGACTAGCTATCAGAGGGTCCATAGGTCTTCTATCAAGAGGCGAGCTAACAGAGGGTCATGATAGTTTCTGCTCTTAGTGAAACATGACAGAGAGGCATGAGGACTTCTGTCAGAGAACTGTCACCAGAGGGTCTATAGGCATTCTGTCTGGAGGTCTTCTGTCAGTCGACTATACTAAAACAAATTCAAAGAAAAATCTAAAACAATCTTCTAAGGGGTACTCTAAAGTCATATAGCATCATCAATATCTAATTACAATTATTCCTTATAGGATAAACTCCCCGGTTTCATGTCACGTATTTTAGTTTCTTTTACTATGATCTACATTATATGGGCGTTTTTGAACAGGTTAAGTTGATTTTACATATTAGTGCCCACCAATTCAAGGAGCCCCAATTCTTTAAAAAATTATTAGCATTATATAGTGATATTATATAATAATACAGATCGGCAAAATACACTTCATAAAGAAGAATAATGGAGATCTCCAATATTTATTTGTTTGTCTTTGTTGTCTCTGTGTAGTCACATTGCTTGAGTAATGAGTTTTGTTGCTACAGTTTGAGTAATGACTAGTGTTGCTATATATCAATTATGTCATTTAATCTGTTTTGTTGACATGTTATCGCAGATTATATTTGGGAAATTACCCAAAATAGGAGTAAATGAGGTTTGAAATTCCAAAATAGGACTACTATGTTTTTCTTCCCGAAATATGAGTTGTTACTGCCATGTTTGAAAAATACTGTCATAATTGAAAAATACTGTCATTAATTATGATTAATACTGTCATGTTAAATGCACTGTACTGCAACTATTTGGCAGTCATGCTTACAACGTGACAGTAAATATTGTCATGTTAGTCCTATTTCGGGATGAAAAACATAGTAGTCCTATTTTGGAATTCCAAACTCCATTTACTCCTATTTTGGGAAATCTCCCATTATATTTTGAAATAAAAAACTAAGAAATTTGTTGAAACTCAAACAAAACTGTAAAAAGAGTAAAAAAATTAAGGATGCCAAAAACTATATTTTTGTACTTTGGAGTTATATGTATATTCTACATTTTTAAAAGCTTTACACTTTGATTTTATATTTTTTTACATTTCCTTTTTTTCATAGTATTTTGTTTTTGATATTTATCTTTTTTTGAAGGTTTTTAAATTATTTATCTATTTTGATATTTTTATCTATTGATTATATTTTTGTTTCTATGTATTTTAAATTTAATTGAGTATTTTAAATCTATCAATTATCTTATTTTTTAAAAATAACCTCCAATAATTGGTTAAAATGACCGGAATGATTTTGTTTCCAAAGTCAACACACTTATATAATACCCTTTACTATTTATCTATAATTAGGAGTATTGATCATTTTAAAAGTGAATGAAGGTGTATGATATATTTAATACCTAATTCATTTCTATTCTGTAGATCGTAGTATGAAAATGTTAATCCTTTCTGATGTATCTAAAAAGTATGTAGATGTTAAAATTATTTTAACAACACTTTGAAGTATCAAGTATGTGCCGAAGAAAGAATTGTTTTAATTTATAGGGGCTTTTAGTACTATTTTATGAACATAATCACTTGGAGTTTGTAAATAAAAATGTGACACCAATTAGAATATTTTCACTTCAAGTTGCTATAGTCTCATCCCAAATTAAATTTAAAAGACCAAATCAAAATAAACATACATGAGAAGACCAAAATTAAACTGGCCAAACCCGTCTTACAAAGATTGCCCAGTTCAGAAAATTTTGGTCTAGATAAAACATTTTTAGCACGACTCTTCACATCTAGTATTAAAAAGATCAGTGATATATTTAATGTTTTTAAATTATACATTTGCCATTATTGAATCATAAACTAATTTATGTGTTTTTTAAATATACATTATCCATGTCCCAACTTAAGGTTATCATTGCAAGGTGACACTGTTATTTAGACAATGATTAAATAAGGTAATTCAAGTATATTATGAAAAATAAATTTGATAAGAATATAATATAATGAGTCATTGATGATAATTGTGATGTTACATATGTGTTATTTTTAATATTTGATGATTAAATTGTCACTTTAGAGCGTTAATTATTTCCAAACACATGAATGCGAACCTTTAGTTGGGACGTCCAAAAGACGAAAATGAGAACCTTAAAATGTGACAAGATGATAATGATATTATTTTTCACATAATAGTTGTAAGCAATGTAAATATAATGAATTAATGATAGTGATCGTCTATTTATAAACAATTAGAAGTTGAATAGATTTCCCTCTACCCTTTCAAATGCTTATAAATGTTGTATATACATGTGTGTGTCTGTTGTGCACTTTAGATAATTCTATACATGAATAGGGAGTAGAATTTGTTATAGTGTTGACACATATCAAATTTTTCAATAAAGAGTATTGACACATGTCACAAATTTCTTCAAAAGGTTTCTAGGGTTTGTTTTATTATATTATACCGATATAGAAATGAATATAGATATAAATATAGATAAATAGTTGTGGTAGATTATCTTCTCTTACGGTATTTATATTCATGCAACCAAATAGGCAGCTAAGGCAATAAATATGGTAGTTGAGAAAATTCTGGAAATATAGTTGGGACGAGGAAGGATCTAGACACGACGGGTTGTCGATCATTAGCTAAGTAAAACGTACCATGGATCTCATCGATCATAACTGATTATTACAAGAGTTATTATAAAGGTGGATTGATCGAGCTTCAATTTATTACGGAGTTTGATCACGCGCGCACATACTGAGAATGGCGAAATCATATGAAGAAGAGCACCCAGTGAAGGCCTTTGGATATGCAGCAAGGGACACCTCTGGGGTTCTTTCCCCTTTCAAGTTTTCAAGGAGGTTCGTACGTATATACTTACTTTGAATGCATGATGAATCAGGCAAGAATAGGAATAGGATCTAATTAACATGAATTGCTTTATACTCTGATGGAATTGATGATCGATGGGTTTGTATATCAGAGCGACGGGCGAGAAGGATGTGCAATTCAAGGTTCTCTACTGCGGCATCTGTCACTCGGATCTCCATCAGCTCAAAAATGAATGGGGCTTCACTCAGTATCCCATTGTGCCTGGGTGGGTATATACACACACACATACATATGATTATCATCTTATTTCCCACTTTTCCATTACTTGTCTTCTTCTTATTGCAACTTCTCAGTCATATAATATGAGATCTCCAGCAAACACATTTTATTTATCTATTTCAGTATACTCTCTCAGTCAGCCAGTCCCAATATTAACTCATCTTTTGACTTAACATGTACATTAAGAAAGTAAAAATCATGTCATCAGAAACTGTGGAAATCAGATAGAAATAATATGAACCTAGATTTTTGTCACTGGAGGGAAAAAAGTTTATTTTGGAACAAATGAAAGTGGAAAAATATCAAATGATTATTTTTGGAACGGGAGGAGTAATTGAACTTCATTTGTCTCTGTCCCCTCAAGATTTATAATACTCTCATGTCAAATACTCTCTTAATTTCCATAAATTTAATGCAACAACAACATCCAAGCCTTGTTCCAAAAAGATATTGTTAGCTGACCTCAAAATCATATAGGAATAAGGCTCAGATGTTTTTGTTGTCTTAGATTTATGGAAAGTAAGAGTAAAATTGTACACTAATGAATAGTGAAAAGTGGAAAGCCAGGCTATACAGATGAAACATGCAAGATACTCGTTTTTTTCAAAGAGGCGGTAAGATCGAAAAGTTGTGAGAAATAGAATTTAGAGCAAAGTAGTCAGGACGTATGAGCTACCTAAAAAGCACCGCGATCAAGTAAAGTGAATGAGCGGGAGGGGCGGTTTATAAGTGGACCGGTTTCATTCCGTTGACCAGACCATACTAGTTACTAGACAACACTTAACCACATAGATCAGACTAGACAAGATAGATTAGAATAGAGAACGCCTAAAAATTACAGTCCAAATAAACACATCCTAACATTCACACTTCCATTTGAGTGTTCTTTTAACTTTATTAACTATTAATTAAAGTTAAAAGCTATTGATATCTGAAAACAACTCTATATGATTTGTTTTAAAGATTATATGGAAAGTTATTAGCCGTAAAAATTGGTAATTTTTTAAAAGGAGTGTTTTATAAAGCAAAAGTTAGAATATCTATGATTTGTGTTTGGGTGTAATAGAAAAGTGAAACACATTTTAAAGCATCACTCCCCTTGTTTATAGTTCTTAGCTTTAAACTGCTTAAAATTAAGTGGAATCATCTTTTCTAAAACACTACTTGTACCTTGCTAAAATAAAAAGCTGAAAACCACTATGAAAAAGCTGTTGCAAATGCCCCTTCAATAAAACTCTTTTTGTTTCATTAAATAGAAACATATTGCTCTTGATTTTTTTTGAAGTGTTTAAGCGTTTCAAAAATCATTTCAAGAAAAGATTATATATATTTGAGGCAATTTGACTTTTAGCCTCATTTCAAAAACATTAATGGGGCAATCATCCAATAAAATTCAAAAAGCGGGGATTTGACTTTGCATTCCACTTTTTGGATGATATTGGACTTTGCACCTCGTTTTAAAAAAAACATTGACTTTGCACCCCAACATATAACATTTGTGAAGATTGTTTTTGAATGGTGTGCAAAGTCAAATGATTTTTAAGTGAAATGGGATGCAAATTCCAATTTCCCAAGCTATGGAGTCTAAAGTCAAATTCCCGGTCTATTCAGTCTAGTTTTGTTTGTAATGTTGTTTCCTGATATAAAATCAAGAAAAACTTGTGGATTTCCAATTCTCATGCATGTAACTTTGTTAAATGAAAGAGAAAATTTCTAAAATGAGTATATTAAAACAACCCATTTCTTTGTATAGAAGAATCGTTATTTGTTTCTTAAAATGACTCATTCAATGTTTGGCACAAGAAAATCATCTAATTTTAAAATTTGTTCAAGTTTTATGCTGATCGATTTTTTAAAATGAAACAGACACGAAATTGTGGGCATTGTGACTGAGGTAGGCAGCAAGGTAGAGAAATTCAAGGTTGGTGACAAAGTGGGTGTGGGATGCTTAGTGGGGTCCTGCCGTACGTGTGACAACTGTGCGAGCGATCTCGAGAATTACTGTCCCAAACAGGTGCAAACTTATAATGCTTTTGGAACCACCACGTACGGTGGTTACTCCGACATCATGGTTGCAGACGAGCACTTCGTGGTACGCTGGCCCGACAGCCTGCCTATGGAAGCCGCTCCTCTGCTCTGTGCTGGAATAACCACTTATAGCCCGTTAAAATACTTTGGACTTGACAAGCCTGGGATGCACATTGGTGTTGTTGGTCTGGGTGGGCTTGGCCATATGGCTGTTAAGTATGTAAAAGCTTTTGGCTCAAAGGTGACGGTTATTAGCACTTCCCTGAGTAAGAAGCAGGAAGCTATTGACCGATTGGGCGCCGATGCATTCTTGGTTAGCCGTGATCCTGAGCAACTAAAGGTGAGATCCAATTTAGGAGTTCCACTTATATATAACTTGATGGTTTTTCTATTTGGATGGGAATGTGGTCAATCATACATACCTTCTCGTCCTATCAGGTTGACTGGTTGAGAATGAAATTCAAAATCTTAAGTTGCGATATAATTTGTGTTGTTTCCGATGTTAAATGTGTAGGCGGGAATGAACACGTTGGATGGCATTATCAACACGGTTTCTGCAGTACATCCTCTTTTGCCATTGCTTGGCTTGTTGAAATCCAACGGGAAGATGGTCATGGTTGGAGCACCTGAAAAACCACTTGATCTGCCTGTTTTCCCACTAATTATGGGTATATATGCGTGCATAAGTTTCTTGATCATTAATAAACATAACCTTGAGATGCATACTTGATTGGGTTCCTAGCTATGTGTCGAAATTGACCAATAGGTATCGTAATGACTGAAACAGGTAGAAAGCTTATAGCTGGGAGCTGCATTGGAGGGATAAAGGAGACACAAGAAATGTTAGATTTCTCTGCAATGCACAACATAACACCTGATGTGGAGGTTGTTCCTATGGACTATGTTAACACAGCGCTGGACCGCCTGCTGAAATCTGATGTGAGATACAGATTTGTTCTGAACATTGGCAAATCTTTGAACTCTTCTTAGGACCAAATTAAGATTAGTGAGAGCGTTGCTTCCTCAGTAAAGCAATATTTGTGCCTAGCTCTTATCTATATTTTGGTAACACCGTGAATTTTGTGGAGATGGATTTTTTTCTTTTAATGTAAACGTATTTATCTTGCTGTTTCAAATCCTAGACCGGATTTAAGATATTAAACTGAACGGCCGCAGTTCGATTATTTGAACATCATGTCTTGTACGAAGCAATGCATTTCACGATACTAGTAACTCAGAAGTAAGCATCTCGTTATCAGGTTTGAAGTATACAAAAAACCTCATTATTATTATCATGAAAATCTCGATGGCTATGACGAAGATTTTACAGATGAATATGAAATAGAAAATTAATATATACTAGTACTTCGTAAGATTTTGGATGGAGTTAACCGCAACGAAAAATACGTTTTTCAATAACTTTAAGTATGATTGGTTGTTGATCGGTTTACAGCTTGTTTCTCATGATTTCATTGTGGTTTCGATTTATTCAATTTGCAGAGTACGAATATGGTAACAAGAAATAATAAGGATATGTTTTTTGTTTTTTGGAAAAAGGAGATTTAGATTAATATCACACCATTCATAAAGGAACAACAAAATAAAAGGATGACTTCCAACCGCCGACCCTCGAAGACTCGAACTAGATTTAGAGTCAATCACCTTACAAAAATCAATATGACTCGTTGATCTTGTAGTGGGTTTAAAATAAACGAGCACAACAAAAATAGTCTGATGAATGCAAAAAACGGAAAAGAAAATATAATAGTGGAAATTCAGCTACACCCTCAGTCTGCCGAGGAATTTCCCATGTCCTTCTATGATCTGGAGCATCTTCAGAGCTCTCGCCAGGTCTGATAGTCAAGACCCACTCCCTCTCCGTTTTTTGGTTCATCGAGTGTCATCTTGTCCCCCCAGTAATCTCGTGCTGCTTCTCCCACACCTTCTTGCGCTTTTGTTCTCCCAGAATCTCTATTACACCCGCTTACTGACCTTTCTGCTCTTGGAAATTCAGCACCCCTCTCTTCTTAGACTTCCGATTAGCATCTAGAACCATCTCTGAACTCTTAGTAGCTCCTCCTTGCACCGCACCCATTGCTAAATCTTCGTTATTTGACCCAAACTCCAACTCTCCACCTTTATTTTCCAACCCCACACAATCTGCCAACTCGAAATAATCCACCTTCCTTGTTTTCCTTGCCACCGAAGTCCCCTCCCCTCCCTCTCCCAAAACATCACTCCTTCCAACGGCCCATGCATGATGCATGCCCCACCTTATCCATATCCCTTACATCCCTTTCACCACCTTCATGCTCAAAAAATCCTGCATAACCCGAATTCCCATCACCACCTTCACCCCCCATCACTTTCCTTTTCTTTCGGAAATAACCACTTACTTATGTACGAATGATCTATGTTGTAATTGCTTACTACTTGGACTTAATCGAATAATGCAACCCACTTACTACGGTTACTTGGCCCATCTTTACTTGTTCTAATACCTACTCTACTACCTCTTCATTCGAAATGGTTACGTGTTGGACCTACGGATTCAAGGAATTAACTTCCGCACATACATTCAGTCTTTTTATATTACGTAGTACGGAGTATATTGTACGAAGTTCATTGTATTAGTTATTATTGTGATATCGATTCTTTTATTAATATAAAAAAATATATAACAAAATATACTACTGTTGACAAGGGCCTTTATTTGAAATTCAACTCAGGTCCAAATCTATACGGGATCGGTACTGCACGCAACTTTTGATTTTGATGGATCCTAGATTGTGTAATAATCAAAATCAGTGAGGTTAGAGTTACTTTTCTAGTTACTTAGAGAATCATTTTAACTATTTTGTCATTTTTTTTTATTTTATTAATAAAATATATGTTTAACATAACTTTTCGACAATTCAACAAATTCGGACCTAATTTCATCAATTTTATCAGATTCAGGCGATTCAGCTAATTTCAGCGTTACCAAACATACTCTACTTAAGTTACATGAAAAGTTAGAAATGTGGAACGAATCAATACAAAAGCAAGCTTAAGAAGATATTCAGGAAAACATGTATATGTAGGCTTTGAGAATAAATTTTAGAACCAAATCATGTTTTGATCAGTTTTTTATTAATATTTTTTTGCCTAATTCACTCTATAACATAAATAACCTCATTTGTTATGCATCTCAATCTTTTTCAAATGAAAATTCAACTACATGATTTTACAAAATTTAAGGAGACCAACATGGCAACATGCTGTCTGCCAATTAAATGAATCCAACGACAAAATAAGAGGAGAGAGATTTTCCAAAATAGAAGTACTATGTTTTTCTTCCTGAAATAGGAGTAACGCTACAGTATTTACTGTCATTGTAAAACACTAGCCCCGCAGGACGTGAGATAGTTACTCCTGACCTCTAGTACTGTCTTCACAAACCATCACGAGCTTTTACCATGCACTTTGTCCTCACTCGTGCGCGTCCTGAAAAACTTCCCAACTGATCACCCATCCCAAGACTACTCTCGTGCAAGCACGCTTAATTTTGAAGTTCTTGGGTGATGAGCTCCCTTAGAAGGAGATGCACCTCTATTGGTATAAGTAGTACTATTAATCCTCTTAAATTAATCTCGAGTATTACAATAACCCCCACTTAGGATCACAACGTCTTTGTTGCGCCCACAAGCCAATTCTATCTCAATCATATCCCAGAATTTCCCCACTGCTAAGTGTTCACCCAATATCCAATGGATCATCACACTGTCGCAGAGTTGCTCTCATACCCCTTGTAACACCCTGGCCCCGCAGGACTTGAGGTAGATGAGCTCAGGTATTACGGTACTATTAATCCTCTTAAATTAATCTCGGGTACATATTACAGTCATCTTGTAATCATGATTGTCAAATAGTTGCAGTATTATTCATTCAACCTGACAATATTTATTATATATAATTAGTGACAAAACTTTTCAATCATGGCAGTATTTTTCAATTATGGTAGTAAAGACTAATATTTTCACTACAAAAAAATACGAGATTGACACGAACTTGACACGGATTGAGCGATGATTTCGTGCCAAATAGCTCGTACCAAAATGTTTTTGGGACGGATTTGGCGAATCCCTGCCAAAATCTCTGTCAATTTTGGGAATTCCCTGCCAAAAAGTTCTGTCAATCTCGTGTTTTTTTGTAATGTTTGGGAAGTAACACACTACGTAGTAGTCTATTTGAAATTCCAAAAAATAATTACTCTTATTTAGAGAAACATCCCGTAAAAGAACTAAATGAGATGATTTATCGGTCACTAGTGAAAAACTAAAGGAAATTATGATAAAATAATATAGTAGGGTAAGAAAACATGACATTAACAAGTGACTCAAGAATGACAAAGTATACAATTTAAAATGTATAAAAAGTGATATGGACCAATTATGCTAATTTGTTTACATGGTCACACAGTTTTGAGATATTTGTTGAAAAATAAATACACAAATTTAAAAGGTGATTAAGATTTTTGGCATAAATATAATGTTCACATCTACAAGGTGCCAAACTCATGAAGACTATTAAACCGGTATATAAAATTATTGAACTATTTAACAATATATTTTTTTCCAGTTTTGATAATTACATTGTTATAGATAATTATGTTAGGGTTAATAGTTATTAACTGTATGATTACACTCTCCGTTGTAACTATTCAAGCGGTCCTTGGTGCGAACGAGTTATTAAGTGTATGATTACACTCTCCATTGTAAGGATTTATAGTTCTTCCGCCGATTTGATAGATTGGACGGCTCTTCGATTTGAGATTTTCCCATGCGACGAGTTTCTTGGTGCGAACAAGAAAGAGACAACAATAGTGTTAGACATAATATAGGCTTGTTAATACACTAATATTTGTAATTAGCCTCATCTACATAATAATGGGCCAAGGGCTTGTATTTTACATAGTAGAGTCAAGTTACAATATATATGGCCATCGGCCAACATGTAGAGGACACCATTCAATACATCATAATAATATTTTGATTCTTGCCTTAATTTATTATGGTATCAGAGCGTTCATAAGAAGGAAGGTATCGTACGAGGTCAACCAAGGGAGAGCTGCCGCAGCACTAGCGTGTTCCAGCGGCGTGGTTGCTGCGGAGCATGGAACCGTCAGTGGCATTGTCGATTCCCTTTCATGAAGAGGCACGCTCGCTGTGGGTTTACATGGAAAACCGGTTCAGTGTGGCTAATGGACCGAGACTACAAAAACTCCTGGCGTCCATCACCAACTGCCGGTAGTCAAAATCTATGACGGTGGATGCCTACTACACGACTCTCATGGGGTTTTACGATGAACAGAACCGGTTGAAACCTTTGCATACTTGTTCATGTGGCTTGTGTACATGTGGGCTTGCTGCCAAATTTGCTGCGGACCAAGACGAGGAACAATTCCACCAATTTTTTATTGGCATAGATGATGATGTTAACGAGAACGTGAGGTCCAATATTCTGTCACATGCTTTTGCTCTCCAGCATGCTGGGCAGAATGGCAAGGGATGACATGAATCTATTTCGGGGCGGCAAGATTGCTCCAGGCTTACGTGTACACATTGCAAGAAAAAAGGGCATGAGATTGGTTCATGTTTCAAATTGCATGGCTATCCAGAATGGTGGGAAAATCGGAGCCGCACCAACGACACTGCTGCCGGCCGTGGAGGGGGGGGGGGTGAAAACTCACGCCGTAACCTCACCTCCGCCGTCTCATGGTGCGAGTGCAGCGACCCAACCGGAAACAAATGAGCTGAACGAGCTAAGCAAGGAGCAGGTTCAAGCCTTATTAAACTTCATTAATGCTGAAACTCGCTCTTGTGACCGGATGTCGGGTGAGTGTAGTTCGTTTGACTGGATTATCGATACAGGGGCATCTCATCATGTTACGGGTGATATTTCTTGCTTGATAGACCGCATTCGTGTTGAGGCACGCCAGGTGGGGCTGCCCGATGGCCGCGTGGTTGCAGCCACATTTGAGGGCCGTGTAACCCTCACTAAAAATTTCATACTTAAGCACGTTCTTTACGTGCCGGGATTGAACTGTCATCTTATCTCTGTATCTCAGTTAATTGACCAGTCTGCTTGTTTAGTTACTTTCACTGACTCATTTTTTGCAATACAGGACCGTCACTCGAGCAACCTGATTGGAGTCGGTGAAAGACGAGATAGGCTCTATTTTTTCGAGGGGTACCCACACTGCATGTTGTTCACACATCGGCACTGACAGGGTTTGAG